TTTTTCTTGAAACAAAAATTTTTTTCAACGCCAGTCATCCTCTTATAGGGCAGCTTAAAATGCACTTCAATCAGTCTCACTCAAGGAAGCTATAGACCATCAAGGGGTTGAGAGAAGCATTAATAGCCTCTGCATAATGTTTGCACTTGGTATGATAATTTCAATAAAGCCATTTACATAGCTGAAAAAGAAACAGTAGATCTTTACAGAAATTCTGCTCTGTTACTAGAAAACAATTCAGAAACAAGCCCCCCAATGCTCAAATTCACTTTAAGACAAAAACAAATGCTCTACACTTCCGTGGATAGCAGGGTATGATAATTTTCTCATCGACTATGATAAGCTCTACTTTTTCCAGTGTCTTTTCCATTACAGTTTCCTGAAGGTAAACATATCTTGAATAACCAGCAAAAATTAAGTCAAATGAAATGTCCAAGAGTCCACAGACTACAGAAAAGCTACAGGGCAATGAAGTCGATGAGTTTAGAGACAGGGCCGCAAGAGGACGGGTTGGGCCGTATGTAACAGAGACGTCATTGCCTTGTGTTGAACAGAGCCTGTCTGTCATATGCAGAACTGCAACCATTAGGGCTTATGCCTGTAAGAAATTCCTCATCTGCTTTTTTTTTTTCCCCCTAAAGAGCCCAGGTGAAAAGTTTTTGGTAGGTATGAAGGGAAGATGTGTGTTGCAGGAGGGAGGCTCCAATTTTGCATCTGGAAGCTCCTAGCATTAAACAGCTTCCACGAAACCCTATCAGTGTAGGAAGTGAATAAATGCTCCAGTCTACCACTGGTAGGCCTCCCCTGGTAGCTCTGCTGGTAAAGAATCCACTTGCAATGTGGGAGACCTGGTTTCGATCTCTGCTTTGGGAAGATCCTCTAGAGAAAGGATGGCTACCCACTCCAGCATTCTTGGGTTTCCCTGGTGTCTCAGCTGGTGAGGAGTCTGATTGCAATGCGGGAGACCTGGGTTCAATCTCTGTTGAGAAGATCCGCTGGATCTACTACCCACTCCAGTGTTCTGGTCTGGAGATTTCCATGGGCTGTATAGTCCATGGGGTTACAAAGAGTTGAACACGACTGAGTGATTTTCACTCACTACTGTGGGTACCTTGCTGGAAAGAAAGGAAGGTCCAAGAGTGCTCTGAGGAGCATCTATCTCAGCTCTCTCACTCAAATCTTAAGGGTAGTAAAATGTAGAACTCAGTTCTGCCAAGTGTCCTTCACATGACATAAGCTGGTGCCGTTCCTGTGGGCAGGTGGTTGTTCATTCCAGGAATCCAAGGCATTAACTGTGCTGGACAGAAAGAAAAACGGTGTCACAAAATTCTCACTTCCTTATGCGTTGGAGAAGTAGAACCCAGATTGTGACATTAAAATGGGCAGGGTCAGCTCTTCTCACACACCATGCTGGGCTATTATGAACCTACATCTGCCATCATTTGGCAGAGATCTTTAAATTTTGTAAACCTGGCAGTGCAGGATCAAGGGAAGATGTTTTTCTTAACTATTTTTGTATCACTGAAAGTCATATCTTCAGTGGAAAAATGTTTTTTAGACCTCATCCTAGAGGGGTGGAATGGGATGGGACATGGGAGGGAGGTTTCAGAGGGAGAGGACATATGTATACCTATGGCTGATTCATATTGATATATTGCAGAAGCTATCACAATATTGTAAAGCAATTATCCTCCAGTTTAGAACAAAACAAAACAGTGTTGATGTCTCCACTGAGATGAATAGACAGAATCTTCGGGGTAGAGCACAGGTAAGGATCATCCTTAAAACTCCATGTGTGGGCTTCCCTTGTGGCTGAGTGGTGAAGGATCTGCCTGCCGATGCAGGAGACGCAGGTTCGATCCCTGCTCTGGGAAGATCCCACATGCCACAGAGCAGCTAGGCCTGTGCTCCACGCCTGAGCCTGTGCCCTAGAGCCCAGGAACCACAACCGCTGAGCCCAGCTGCCGCAGCTACGTGCTCGGGAAGCAGAGAAGCCGCCACAGTGAGAAGCCAGACGCCGCAACAGAGAGTAGGCCCCACTCACCACAGTCAGGCAGAAGCCCACTCAGCAGCTAAGACCCAGCACTGCCACAGAAAGATAAATGAGCAAAGCTATTTAAAAATGACCTCAGTGATTAGACATAAAAATGATATAGATGACTATATCCCACATGCATATAGCTGGTTTGCTCTTTCGTTTTTAGGCCTTTCTTCTTACCTTTTCTAGGGCCATTGGCAGAAGCTCAAGCGGCCGTATCTATAATAGCAGCCTGGATCTCCGCAGACAGTCAAATGTTTGTCTGCACACTTCACTGCATAGTTCTCCATACTTCATTCCAGCTGACCCATCAGTTTTCAAGATAAGCAGCTTTGATTCAGCCTGGCTTTTTGTTTAGTGATTTAGGAAGAAAAAAGATGAGTAGACTGAAAAGTCTCCCCAAAACATATGTATTTCAAGAAACTCCCACATTTATGCCATCTGTCTTTCCTGCTTCTTCTTCAAGTCCATTCATATTAATTGATGCTTAGTTATGCGCTTACTCCACAGTGATGGAAAGGGACCCATCTATGCTGAACTGGCGAATTGTTTTAACAAGTACATTTACAAATTTAGAACAGAGGCCATTCAGAGTCTGAGACATACTGAATACAGCAAGAACTGGACGAATAACACAGGAAAAATGCCAAGTTCAAACGGATGCCACAGACTGGCCCTGGGCGATTTTATTGTTACGGATAACTCAACCAAGTCTACCTTAAAATGTGTTCCTCTTCAGCCTTGCTCACACCACAACTTGTATCTCAAGGGGATGGCTTTTTTACTATCTAAATTTTACTTATTCTTCAGGTTCTACCTAGATCCCACCTTTCTGTGAAGGTGTCTCCTAGCACTCTTCAATAGCAGCATCACCTTCTGCTTCTAGATTCCTGGCCAGGAGAGGAGCAGAGCAGGTGGAATGAGGCAGTCTATGTTCACAAGGGCTGACTATTTTTTCACTTGCAGAAACTGAACTAGTGCCTCTATTTTGAACTGGCCCAGGGGCTTCCCAGGAGGTGCTAGGGGATAAAGAACACGCCTCGCAATGCAGGTAGATATAAGAGATGTGGGTTCTATCCCTGGGCCAGGAAGATCCCCTGGAGGAGGACACAGCAACCCACCCCAGCATTCTCCCAGCATTCTTGCCTGGGAGAATCCCATGGACAGAGGAGCCTGGTGGGCAACAGTCCATAGAGTTGCATAGAGTCGGACACGACTGAAGTGATTTAGCATGCCACAGAGTATTCGTTCATTATCGATCGATTATTCCACTTTCTCTTCCATATGATGAGTCCAGCCCTTTCTCACCTTTCTGAAAGAGTAATACCTACATTGTTTTTAGTAATATTTCTGTGTTTTTTATTTCATCAATAATGCGGCTTGATTCTTGTGCTTTTGAATACGTTTTGTTCTTTTCTGAATAGGTCAGTGCTAGAAAACCAATGTATCTTCCATAAATACCTATTTCCTCTATTTTGATTTTAAGTTTCTCCCAAATTTCCTTTTATGGGCTTCCCTGGTGGCTTAGTGGTAAAGAATCTGCCTGCCAATGCAGGAGACATGGGCTCAATCCCTGAGTCAGGAAAATCCCCTGGAGAAGGAAATGGCAACCCATTGGCAACCCACAGCAGTATTCTTTTCTGGAGAATTCCATGCACCGAGGAGCTGGCAAGTGACAGTCCATGGGGTCACAAAGGGTCAAACATGACAGCAACTAAATATTAGCAAAATCTCCTTCTATACTTTGTTCATAACATGTGAAGCAAAATATATACAATACTCTTTTGGACTAGATGTAAGCAGCTAAAATTTTCATTACACAGACTATGGCACAGCCCAGTTGCTGAGCAGAATGCACTGCACAACTGACATTCATGCACGGCCTATCAGCGGTCCACCGCTCTGTCTTGAGGGCAATGTTTGCAGCAGTGACCCACAGTTGGTTAGAGCAACTGACACTCTCCCATCAGCACAGAACCTTGGAAAAACGATGTCAATGACAGAAGGAAAGGAAAGGCAGAGAATATACAGACACACTCGACTCCACACAGTGAAGTACTGAATAGGTGGGCCCTCTCAGGTAACAGCCCGTGGACACCTAGCCACTCTCTCTGAACTCAACCTTCTGCTCAACTTCATACAGGTAAGTTTACTTTCCTGAATTTTTTTCCTTCTACTTAAAAAAAAAAAGTAATGTCTCCACGTGGAAAAATGATCTCATTGATAAAATAAATGCAAACATATTTGCCCAATTATGTATTGTGACATCACACATGTAGCTTAAATTTATGGACAAAATTAAAACAGTACTTGATTAATATCCCAGGATGCCCTTGACATTCCTGCATAAAGAGTAAAGCTGAAGAAAGACTTCACACTCCTCTACCCTAAGGAAAATCAAGAAAAAGCTCAGCTGTGGAATATGATATCTTCATGCCGTTGAGAAAACCTTAGATGCTTGCTTTTCTGGTTTTATGATTTTCAAATGTTGTGCATATTTTAGTGAGATAAAGATTTAAATTCAATTTAGATAATTTCTATTTAGCACCTGTTCCACACTCTCCTGGGAATGCCAAGAAGACATGGCTCCTGCCATGGAGAGAAAACTGCATTACTAAAATCAGTAACGGTAATTTGTCAGTTTGAAGTACTGAAACAGAGAAGGACGCTATGGTCCTTGCCCGCCATGTCCTCTGCCTGCCTTTTGCCTGTGGAAAATCTTTAGCCAAAGATAAGTTTAATCAGAGAAGTGAGAAAATGCAGAAAAAAAGGAAAACAAAGGAGACCAAATAACAGTACTGCGGTCTTTAAGCACAGCCGAGGACCTCCAGTTCCCCCTCAAAGGCCGAGGACAGGACTCAGGGCCCCGCCGGGCGTGCTGCCGCGCAGACGCTGACCCCGGGCAGACGCTGACCCCGCGCAGACGCTGACCCCGCGCAGACGCTGACCCCGGGCAGACGCTGACCCCGCGCAGAAGCGCGTAGCTGCTCTTTGGCCAGGCTGCAGCCATGACGTCAGCGGCCACGTTCTGAGAACGGACCTGAAAGAAATGGAAACAAACCGGCCAGGGAACTGAAGATAAACCGTACTTGAAACAGTCAAGATGACGTGGTCAGACCACAGATGCTCCATTTCAAGATGACTGTGAGTTGACTGTGTTGTTTCTGCATGTATCCCCCTCTCTTTGTCCATAGAATTTCTTGCCCACTGGCTGTCAGTAGTGGAGTTGGCCTTTGGATGGCATCATCCTCCCTCACACACCAGTGGTCAGCATACAAAATAAAGCACACTTTCCTTTCCACCAACCTAGTTTCTTTTTTGGCTTTGGAGGGGTGAGTAGCCAGATCCCACTTTTGGTTACATTGTGCTCAGTCCACCGGTTGTGTCCGATTTTTTATGACCCACGGACTGGGGCCCTCCACGTTCCTCTCTCTATGCAAGTTTCCAGGCAAGAATAGTGAAGCGGGTTAACATTTCCATGTCAATGTGTATTTTGAGTATTTTAAATTCAAGAGACATAACTGCTATTTTTCTTTTAGAACTGCAGAGATAGCCATCAAATCTCCATTGCTACTTTCCCTTGTTCAGAGCTGAGTCTTAGAACATCTGTAAAGTTCTAAAATGTTACAACTGATTCTGGGACTAAGAGGTGTCATTATCGCGAGGCTTCCCCTGGTCCTGGGTGAGATCCTATTCAGTAACTACTGAGTATAGAGGGAAGAGCTTTGTTCCAGAGGTAACTGGGCGTTTTAAAGAAAGATTGAGGGAGTGGGAGGGGGAGTAAGCAGGGACTCAGGTATAGTCAGAGAGGTAAGAAAAAAAATCACAAAATGTAGGTAAGAAGGTCAGGTTGGTCAGTAAAATGATAAAGCCAGTTGTGTCTGCTAGCTACCAGTTACTACAATTAGGAGTCTGTCTTCCCTCAGAGACTAGGAGGCAAAGGCCTTATCTATTCTGATGATTACTTTTTGATTGAATGACCTTCAAGCTCTTGAGAAAGACGCTCCTGGTTTATAGGAGCTGGAGATGGTTGTTGTGTCGTTGCTAAGGTGTATCCAACTCTTTTGTGACCCCGTGGACTGTAGCCCACCAGTCTCCTCTGTCTGTCAGATTTCCCAGGCGAAAATACTGGAGAGGGTTGCCATTTCCTTCTCTGGGGGATCGTCCAGACCTAGGGATCTAACTCGTGTCTCCTGCATTGGCAGACGGAGTCTACCACTGAGCCACCAGGGAAGCCCAGGAGATGCAGATACCTGAGAATATATCTCAGAGGAACAGAGGAAGATTTATAATTGTTTAATTTTCTTAGTAAGTGCTCTAAAAAAAGAGACTCTGGAGTCTATCATCAGTTGTTGGCTAAAAAAAGAAGTAAATTCTTTTGAAAGTCTTGAGCTTTATCAGAAGGTGCTAAGAAGGATTGTCCCTTGGGCTCCCAGAATCATGCTAGGCTTGGTGACATCTCTTAGTGCGGCGTTTACAAGGAGGTGTTGAGAGTTCTTTTTCGGTTCTCTGGCATCACATGCTGGGGCTCTTGGCTGACCTTAGGACTTACCTCATCCGTGGAGACTGGGACAGCATGGTAACCAGCTTCTGTCTGCCACCTTTCTTCAGGAATTTCCCTGGGAGAAGCAGTCACAGTAACCCATGCAAGAGTGTAGAGGGCTGGCTTTGTACATCGACACCAGTCCAGCTCTTGCTAAGCAAACTTTTTCCAGGAGCATTTCCCCAGTTCTATTTGACTCTTCCCATAGGAATTACACACTCAGAGCACAGTACATTACCAAGAGCAAATAGAATAAGCCTAAGGGGGAAAATCCCATTGGGGTCATTGCAGACTATTGGGAAAATGCTATCTCTAAACCATTATGGCTGCAGGAAAGTGGTACTAAATCAGAGCCTTGGCTGGTTTCTCATCAACTTTTATCCCTTATTTGTGCAATGACCCCTGCTTAGACTAAGCAATCTGTTCCCAGCATATGGCAAATTTTCTAGCGAATGTGCAGCTCATATTACCAAATTCGTTTATTTTGCTGATGTCCTTTAAGGTTCTGTTGCCTGTGTGTGAGTGCTGTGTGTGAGCTCAGTTGCTCAGTCCTGTCTACTTGCGACCCCATGAACTGTAGCCCACCAGGATCCTAAGTCCACGGGGTTATCTAGGAAAGAAGACTGGAGCAGGTTGCCATTTCCTTCTCCAGGGGATCTTACCCACCCAGGGGTCGAGCCCCCATCTCCTGCTTTGGCAGGTGGATTCTTTGCCACTGAGACATCTGGGTTCTGTTAGATACCTGTAAATAACAAGTCTTTTAATGGGTGAAGATTTTTTCCAGAAAAATTATAATCAACCATGAGAGAAGGAGATGAAAAGTGTTAGATTATAAAACTGCAAGCATTAATTTAGGAAAGCTGCTATGATTCTGGAAGCGTTAGCATTTGCTCAGAGCATCTGTGAAAGTGTTAGTCTCTCAGTGTGTCTGACTCTCTGTGACCTCACAGACTATAGCCTGCCAGGCTCCTTGGTCCATAGAAATTTCCAGGCAAGAATACTGGAGTGGGTAGCCACTCCCTTCTCCAGGAGGCCTCCTGACCCAGGTCTCCTACACTTCAGGCAGATTATTTATGCCTGAGCCACCAGGAAATACACTTACGTGTAAATCTACATCATCCAATTTTTCTTCACTATGTGCATCTTTTTATTCTCCCTATGTTTCTAGCCACTTAAGTCAATTTGAATGTACTTATCCAATTACAATATAAGTTTTCTCTGTTCAAACAAGGAAATTAAAGATCAGGAGAGAAAAAAGAGAATTCACCCATCCATATATTCTATGAAAAAATAAAAATTAAAGATAGAATCAACCAGAAGAAAAGCTTGGAAGTCTCCTCTTAGGGAAACGTAAGAAGTTAAGTGTTTGAGCAGATCAAGTAGCAGAGTTGGTTACTTACTGAATTCTCTCTTTTATCCTCCTTACCCATGATGGTAAATACAATGTAAAATAGGACATACTTCATGTACTTAAACGAAATGGAAACATTTCTAGCTGAGCAAAGTGGCTTGGCCTCGAGTCAGTAAGAAGCAGGTTCTCTTTCTAAGCAGAATCTGTGCTAAGAGATAGTCCGCCTTCCAAGATAACCCAATTAGCACTGAGTATTTAAAAAAAAAGTCACTAAGATCAAACTCATCCATTGCTTACATTGAGAGACTTGCATTCAGACCTTGTCTTCTGGGTTATTGATGGAATCGTACAAATTCTCCTTTCTAGAGCGACAGTCCCTGTGTACTTTCTATGTACATTATGCCAGTAATTGAATGTTGCCTTGTTTGGAAAGCATTATAGCTTTAAAGGGTGAGATGTAACTTGTTAGGTTCAAAATCCTTTCTTCAGATGAGATCATATGTGGGAGCATTTTACAGAAAACAGATGAAAGCAGTTCCATTCTGCCTTGTACAGCCTCCCCTCCTTCCATAATCTCCCTGCAGGGTCCAGGGCACGTGGGTAGAAAAGACACATTACCAGGAGCCATGGCACCTACATTCTAACTCAGGTCTGGTCACTGCCCAGCTCAATAACCTGCACCAGTCAAGACCCCTGGGTGCTTCAACTGCTCACTGTACAGAGAGAGGTCACAGAGTTCCTTTGAATCTCTGAAGTTCAGCTTCCTGTTTCTTCAAGTAGCTGGATAGTTGTTTTTTTTTTCCCATTCTCCTTAAAGTGTAAGAAGCACAAAACTTTGTGTGTGTGTTTCTAATCAAATGCTAATATTTTTAAGCAGCCAGCATCTGTTATAGAAAAATGCAAATTTTTTTAAATAAGAGATTTTTATTTAAATTTGTTTTTTTAAAAAAGAAAGTACAATTTAATTCCAGAACACAGATATTAAAGCACTAAACCGGAAGATATAATATTCAAACTGTCTAGAATCTTTCTCAAGGCTCTGAATATTACCTGTAGGGTAAACAAAAGCATTAATAGATTTTTTGAACTACCTCAGGAAAAATGGAATATGTTTCCATTCTTCCTCACGGCAATTCTAATGATCTTAGGTAGGATCTTGGGGCAGCTCATGGAAGCTCCAGATTTTATTTATACTATGGTTCATGAGGAAGTGACAGATATAGAAGTGAATGGAGCCAATATCAAGATTTTGGAGTTTCAAAGGGTCATTTCAGATGTCACTTATCCATTATCCATTTAGGAAACATTAAGTCATTGAGGGTATTTTGTGCTCTCGGCACAGTTCTAGGTATAAAGACAGATCCACGTAAGATGTGGCCCATGTACGTAATGTTATTTAGACTAAAGGCGGGCCTTGAAATTTAGCACATGTGTTCTGAATAATGCTGCGGTGCTGTGCTTAGTTGGTCAGTCGTGTCTGACTCTCTGTGACCCCAAGGACTGTAGCCAAGCTCCTATGTCCATGGAGATTCTCCAGGCAAGAATACTGGAGTGGGTTGCCATGCCCTCCTCCAGGGGATCTTCCCAAGCCCAGGATCAGACCCAGGTCTCCCTTTTGCAGGTGGATTCTTTACCATCTGAGCCACCAGGGAAGTCCCAGAATACTGGAGTGGGTAGCCTGTCTTTTTTCCAGAGGATCTTCCCGACCCAGGAGTTGAACCAGGGTTTCCTGCATTGCAGGCAGATTCTTTACCAGCTGAGCTACCAGGGAAGCCCATTGGGGATAATACTACATGGTAAATACAAAGTATAGTAACACTGGAATGTATAAAGTACTATGAAAACAAAGTCGTACTGTAGAAGGGTAAGGAGGAAGTTAGTTAAGGGCAAAAGACTATGCATTTAGAATTGTAAATTACTCTTTTTTTTGTCCCCATTGTGAGGACAGTTTTTTAATTTTTTATTTTTTAAATTTATTTTTAATCAAAGAATAATTGCTTTCGAGTGTTATGCTGGTTTCTGCCGTACAACAGAATCAGCTATACATATACCTAAATGCCCATCTACAGTGAATGGATAAAGAAGCTGTAGTACATATACACAATGAAATATTACTCAGCCATAAAAAGGAATGAATTTGAGTCAGTTGTAGTGAGGTGGATGAGCAAAGGTGGATGGATGGTAAAGGATGAGGTGGATGGTTATACAGAGCAAAGTAAGTCAGAAAGAAAAAGCAAATATCGCATATTAACTGTAGATTACTCTTTTTGAAAGCTTGAAAGTTCACAGCTAAAAGCTCTGGTGACTATTGATGAAATCTAACTGAGTCAAAAAGAGTGATCAAATCATGATACAGGTCTAACTACTGTTATGGAAGAGGAAGGAAAGAAATTGGATAGGAAGAAGCCAGGACCAAAACTCAGAAGAAAGTTTCTTAAAGGGAAGCCTTGCGCCAAAGCTGTTAGAAGAATCCTGTATCTCATGGGAATGGATGTGTGCCAGTAGCCTGCTGTGCTCAGACAATGGATGGATGCAGTCTGCAACCTCAGCTTTGTGTTCTGAGGACAGTAGCGAGGCTGTTGGTCAATGGTCCTTCATAACAGAAGACTGGAGTTGTGCATTTTTATAGCTGACAAACAGGTCAAGTATGTGGGCTATGTTGAAAATGAGATAATATGATGGGGAAGGCATTGCTGAACTGTGCATAAATATTTGGATCACTTTTCATTTTATGTTGCATGTCCTTGTATCATTTTCAGGAAAACCCTTTAGCAAACTCCAGGTAATGAAGAATCTCACCAATGCAAGCAAGCTTTCTATGGAGTTTTCCAGCTTAATTCAAGGGTCTTCCAACAGACACAACCTCCTGTACTGGTGTAGACACTTAGATGACAAAAACACACACACACATAAAAGGTTATCTTCAGGCAAGCCTCTAAAATTTTACAGTGCAGCTGTTTAAAGATTTAAACACTTATTCCACATTCAGAATTAGGAGGGTGGCATTTCTTTTAGCAATAAACATAATGAACATCACATGTAATGTAGTGATCACCAATCTAAACTGCAACATTGAACATCAGTATTATCATATTTTTTCCCCCAACATTAATTCTTCAATTCTGGTAAAGATGTCAACTCTAATTCAATTTATAGAGTCTCTTATGAAATAGAAAGAGTGAAATACAGCTGAACTGAATGTACTTCAGTTGTATTGAGAACGGAATCATCTTTCTGAAGCATAGTGGGCTCAGTGGCCAGAATAGGAGAAACATTGAAGCAAAGCTGGCTGAGTAGCCCAGTGGTCACAGACCTGAGGCCTGTGTACTGACGATGCTGGGAGCACAGAGCGGGAAGAAGCGTCAACTGCTACTTCTGTCTCTGAAGCAGGCCCTTACCTGGGGCTCCGTGAGCGCTGCGGCGGAGGAGGCAGGACAGCAGCGCAGTGCCTCCCTCTGCCACCTGCCTGGTGTGTGACGGGAAAGGCCATTGGCCATCTCTGGTCCCAGCTGGCTGTCTCTCAGGCTGTTAGGAAAGAGGAATCTAGATTGTTAGATTGATTTCTGGTTCAGAGATGAACATTACTGAGGGTTTGTGTGTGTGTGATTCTAGAGCAGGGCTTAATTATGAGCAGCTCTGGAACAAGATGCTGTGTTGGCTGGCACTCCAACTCTGCCTCTGTCTGAGGAATTTGGGCACATTTCCTAACTTCTAACTGTGGAACAAGTATGATATTGTTAGTCTGACTCTTTGCAACCCCATGGACGCTAGCCCGTCAGGCTCCTCTGTCTTTGGGGTTCTCGATGCAAGAATACTGGAGTGGGTAGCCATTCCCTTTTCCAGGGGCCCTTCCTCACCCAGAGATCAAACCCGGGTCTCCTGCATTGCAGGCAGATTCTTTACTGTCTGAGCTATCAGGGAAGCCCAAATAAGATATTATTTCTTACCTACTTTTGTGTTGATTAAGAGTTACTCTTCAGAAAATATTAAATACTTTTCAAAATACTTTTAAAAAATACTTAAACTAGTGCTGGGCACATGCTCCTTAAGCATTACATGAATAAGCAAGAACTTGCAATCATTTCTCCCCTGGCCCCAAACCCAACTGCAGCTGCTGAAGTTTGGTGTGAGAGGAGGAGAAAGGTGAGCATATTAGTCCAGCCTAGAAAGGAGGTGTGGCAGGCTCTGTGCTTGATCTGGGCTGAGGTTGGGAGGTGGAGAGCTTCCCTGCTGGCCCAGCAGGGGCAAATCCACCCACAATGCGGGAGATGTAGTTTTGGTCCCTGAGTTGGGAAGATCCCCTGGAGGAGGGCATGGCAACCCTTTCCAGTATTCTTGGCTGGAGAATCCCGTGGACGGAGGAGCCTGGCGGTCCATAGGGTCACAAAGAGTCAGACAGGACTGAAGTGACTGAGCACACGCCCACATGGGAGCACAAGGAGAAGCCAACATGTTCTCGTTTCTTCAGCTGGTTAACAAACGTACGCACAGTGATAACATGTGCCAGGCAGTGTGCACGCGCTCAGAAATATTAGCACGTTTAAATCCCTACAGCTGCTCCAAAGGGCTGAGAAACATGGCGTGATATCTCACAACACAGACTTTGGGTTAGCAATGAAAGAACTGTATTTGCTTTTTATTGCCGACATAACGAATTAGCACAAATTTAATACAGCTTAAAACAACACTACTTGTTTTCTCACTCTTTCTCCTGTAGGTCAGGTCCAAGCACAGTGTGGTTTGACAGTCCTCTGCTTAGGGTGTCACAAGTTCAAAGCAAAGTGTTGGCAAGGTTGTTCCTTTCTGGAGTGGAGAATCTACTGCCCAGCTGATTTAGGATGTTGTCAGAATTGGAGTCACAAAGAGTTGGACACAACTTAGCACACACAAACAGAATTCAGTTACTTCTCTTTCCACATGTATTTGACATGCTTCCAATCTCCTTGACTTTGTCTGTCTTTTCGCTCTGCTTTTAAAAGCTCATGTGATTATACTGGGACAACCTAAATAATTCAGGGCCACCTGTCTAACAACAGGTTAGTAACCTTCACCAAAAATTCTTCTTGGTTTTTATCTGCTTCAGTTTGAGGCTTAAATTTATATTTTCTAAAGGTAAGAGTTTATTTTGTATTGCACATTTCTTTTCTGACTATATGAGTGATATACAAGAACTATATCGTTTTGGTCTTTTCTTTTTCAGTACTGTTTTCTTCTCTACATTTTTGTTTTATTTTTAAATATTTACTTAGACATACCAGGTCTTAGTTGTGACATGTGGGATCTACTTCCCTTACCAGGGACTGAGCCTGGGCCTCTGCATTGGGAGCTCAAAGACTTAGCCATGGGACTGAGGTAGGAGATAGATGGGCCCCAGGCTGGACATTTACAACTAGTTTGCACTTCCTAAGACAGATAAGTGCACTCCAATTGAAAAGTTTACAACCAGCCTCCTGTTAGTCGTCCAAAATGGAAGTAACAACAGAAACAAGGCAATGACCAGTCTTTGTCTCTTGTAAACATCTTAAGGTGATAATCATGTCAAGGACAAAGGGAGACAAAACCCTGTTTAAGTGAAGGATTAAGGGAGTTCCACTCCCCACTTCTTTTTAGGACAAAGGAGACAGTATACATTTGCACAAAGGCTCTTTGGGGTCAAAAGTCAGGTGATGATGCCAGGCCATAATGAGTCTTATTCCTCACAGAAGCCTTCAAGATCCATCTTGGTTGAGGGGCGTGTGTGCACCCCAGCAGAGAGCCCTGAGACAAATGAGCCAGGTGATGGGACAAAGCAGGACGACTGGCCTGAGAGAAGAGAGAAACCTGGAAACTGTGTCCTTACAAAGAATGTAAACTCCCCGAAGGCGTGGTTCTCTCTCTGAGTTCGCCCGTGCGCTGTTCTGTGTGCTCTTTTCAATGAATTTTTGCTTTACTCTTTACCTTCTGCCTCCTCGCCTGAGTGTTCCTGACTAGGCACGCAAGGACTATGGACTCGGGCCTTAATTGCTGGCCCCAGTGGTCCAGCGGGTAGGACTCCCAGTCCAAGAACCTAAGACCTTGATTCCAGCTGCCGCTCACTTTACTGTTGCGTGCATCCAAAATCAGGACTACCAGGGAAGTCCCTCTCTACGCTTTTATGCATAAGTACTACATGCCAAGGCCCTGTACATCTAGCCCTCTCTCATGCCTCCTGGGGAGATGGACATGAAATTAAGTAAATGCAAGGCCATTTTTAAAACTAGGTCAGGGAGACCTACAGCATATGGAAGGAGCACAGAGGAGGATGGATGTTCAGCTGTTGTTAAACAACTGGGCAGATGGATACACAGCATTGGGCAAGTGCTATCAGAGAAGTGAAGGAAAACACATCCCAAATGTCATGGAAAGCACAGAGGCATAACGTCCTCAAGATTCTTCCAGGTTGTTGCAATTGGCAGGATTTCCTTCTTTTTAACTTTGAGTAATATTCCGTTGTATGTGTATACCACCCTTTATCCATTCATCTGTTGATAAACATTTAAACTGTTTTGATATCTTAACATTTGTGAATAGTGCTGCAATAAACATGGTGTGCAGATATTTTTCAATATCCCTGGTAGGACTCCCAGTCCAAGAACCTAAGACCTTGATTCCAGCTGCCGCTCACTTTACTGTTGCGTGCATCCAAAATCAGGACTACCAGGGAAGTCCCTCTCTACGCTTTTATGCATAAGTACTACATGCCAAGGCCCTGTACATCTAGCCCTCTCTCATGCCTCCTGGGGAGATGGACATGAAATTAAGTAAATGCAAGGCCATTTTTAAAACTAGGTCAGGGAGACCTACAGCATATGGAAGGAGCACAGAGGAGGATGGATGTTCAGCTGTTGTTAAACAACTGGGCAGATGGATACACAGCATTGGGCAAGTGCTATCAGAGAAGTGAAGGAAAACACATCCCAAATGTCATGGAAAGCACAGAGGCATAACGTCCTCAAGATTCTTCCAGGTTGTTGCAATTGGCAGGATTTCCTTCTTTTTAACTTTGAGTAATATTCCATTGTATGTGTATACCACCCTTTATCCATTCATCTGTTGATAAACATTTAAACTGTTTTGATATCTTAACATTTGTGAATAGTGCTGCAATAAACATGGTGTGCAGATATTTTTCAATATCCCGATTTCAATTTTTTGGGTATATACCCAGATGTAGGATTGCTGGATCATATAGTAGTTCTATTTTTAATTTTTTTAAAAGGAGCTTCTGTATTTTTTCCACATAGTGGCTGCAACATTCTGCATTTCCCCCAACAGTGCATAAAGCCTTTGACTAAAATCAGAATGAACTAATTAATAGTGGTTAAAAATATTAAGACAGCGACTTAGATGTATGTTATAGGAAGTATATAGGAAATAAATCTTTCATCAAAATTTTGTTCCAAAGAAATTAGAAGCTGGAATATAGGGGTTTTGCTTTATTTTTTAAACTAAACACACAGTAAAAAAAAAAAAATTTTTTTTTTTTGATGTACACTTAAGCAACTTTCTTGATTCCAAAAATTTTCCTTTTCTTCCCTCCTCCACTCATGCCTTTGGGGAGCCAGATAACATAGAAACAGTTTTTGAGCGCTTCTTATAGATGAAATCAAGTAATATGTAACCTTTTGAAAATTCACTTCTTTCAAGCAGCATAACACCTTTGAGATTCCTCCAAGTTCTTGTATTCATCAATAACTTCCTCCTTTTTATTGTTGAATAGTTATGCACTATATAGACAAACCGCAATTTGCTTATTCATTCACCCACTGAAAGACACTTAATTGTTTTTAGCTTAGCTTTCAGTGGTTATGAAGAGAGCTTCTTTCATATTCATGTACACATTTTTGTGTGAAAAAAAGTTTTTACTTTTCTGAGAAAATTCCCATGAGTGGGATTACTGGGTTATAAGGTAAGTGTACACTATATAAGAAATGCCAAGCTTTTTTCAAGAATGACTCTACCATTTTGTGACCCCACAGACTATAGCCGGCCAGGCTTCTCTGTCCATGGAATTCTCCAGGCAAGAATACTGGAGTGGATTGCCATTCCCTTCTCCAGAGGAACTTCCCAACTTAGGGATTGAACCCTGGTCTCATGCCTCACAGGCAGATTCTTTACCCTTTGAACTACAGGGAAGTCTGAGTGTACACTAAACTTTATAAGAAATGCCAAACTTTTTTCAAGAATGACTCTGCAATTTGGCTTTCCTACCAGCAAATGAGAGATTCAATTGCTTTGTACCCTTGCCCACATTTGGTGTTTTCATTATAACTATTCCTTTTTTTATAATTTTAGCTCTTCTAATTTATAGGTGTGGAATGGTATCTCAAAATGGTTTTAATTTGCATTTCCCTAATGCTTAATGATGTTGAGTATATTTCATGTAATTATTTGCCATCTGTATATCCTCTTTATTGAAGTGTTTTTTGAAGCTCTTCCCCCATATTTTTAATTAGATTGCTTTCTTGCTGTTGCGTTTAAGAGTTCTCTTTGTATACACTAAATACAAGCCCTTTGTCAGGTGTGTGAACTGCAAAGAGCTTCTTCCAACCTGCAGCTTGTCTTTTCATTCTCTTTTACAAAGAAAACTTAAAAAAAATTTAACGTAGTCCAATTGACCATTTTTAAAAGTTATGTATCATGTTTTTGTTGTCTTATCTAAGAACTCTTTGCTAACCTCAGATTACAATGGCTTTCTATTTTTTCTTCTGGAAATTTTATAGTCTTACATTTTACATTTATGTCTGTCTTCCATAGTTACTTAATTCTTGTATAAAGTGTGATGTTTAGGCAGAGGTCCATTGTTTTGCACATATATGCCCAGTTGTTCCAATATTACTTGGCAAAATAGTATACATTTTCCATTAGTTCCTCAATCTTTGTTAAAAATCAATTTTCTGGATCTGTTTGTAGATTCTATTCTGTTGATCTAAGTGTTTATCCTTTTGTCAATATCATATTTTCTTGATTAAATTCACAGTAATTCTTAAAATTGGACAATGTAAGTCCTTCAATTTTGCTCTTCTTTTTCGAAATTGTTTAAAGCATTTTATTCTTTTTACTTTGTGTTTAAATCATAGAATTAGGTTTTTTTCTGTATCTACAATGATTCTGGTATATTTATTGGAATTGTGTTACAATTGTAGAGAAATTTAGACAGAACTGACATTTTAACTGTACTGAGTCTTCCTTTCATGAAAATATTATGATGTCTCTCCATTTATTTATGCCTTCTTCAAAGAGGTATTTTTTTTTTTGGTTTGGTTGGTTGACTTTGGTTTTTCAGCATGTAGATTCCATACACATTTTGTTAGCTTTGTATCTACACATCTCCTATTTTTGGAGTTATAATAAACATACTTTAAAAAATATGTTGGTTCCTGTTTGTTTATTGCTTATACATAAAAATGCAATTCAATTCATTTTTTGAAATGACTGAATTTGTATCCTGAAATCTTGCTAAATTCACATTAGTTCAATGAGCTTTGTTGTAGATTCCATGAGATTCTGTACACAAGCAATTGTTATAGTAATCTCACAGAATTTCAGTGGACTGCCCCACCCCAAATTTGGTTCTTTTGTCAAGACTGATGATGCCACACATGCATCAAGGCAGTATGAAAACATTTACTACTCACATACCTGAAGCTCTCTGGGGGAAAGCAGAGTAAGCTTCCAAATCTGGCCCCAAAATGCCTTGAGCAATGAAAGGAGACTACCTTGGCTTTCATTGTGGCTGTGAGGGGGGTGTGGATCAAGGCTTTACCTGAAGGTCATTGCCTGGACTTTATGTCTTTACCAAATGTGGGGCAAAAGTTAAGGGTGGTGCTTAAAAACTGTTATCAATCAAACATCAAACACTGAGTAATATTCTTTATTACATCCTTGCCTTGCTCCCAATTCTAGGTGGTAAGAATTTAGCTTTTAAGCAGTTACCATTATGTTAACTGGTGATGTTTTAATATACCATTTACAAGGTTAAAGAAGTTTTCCTCTATCCCTAGTTTACTGTTGTTTTCATGAATGAGTGTTGAATACATTTCAGTTTTTGTCTGCATGCATTGATAGGATTGTATTGTATTGTATTTGTTTTTCTTTAGTCCATTAGTATGATGGATTAGATTGATTTTGCAAACTACATATATGATTATGACAACATAATCTTGCCTTTTAATTTGTGCATTTAGACCATTTACATCTAATGAAATTATCATTATATTTGGATATAGGCGTACCATTTTATTATTCATTTTTTTGTTTAATTTCCTTAGTTGTATTGTTCCTTGTTACTCCTTTCATTCTTTTTTTGGATTCTGTGATTCTTTTTAGTATTCTATTTTTACTTATCCATTCATTTTTGACTATATATACATTTAACTTTTTAGTCTATTTTTATAATTCAAGTTTAATGAAGAAAACTTACTCTTATTTGGGTATCTTTATTCTTACTTGTTCATATTGTAGTTGTAGTATCTACATACATTGAAAACTCATCAGACAATGGCACAATCATGTGTCAGCTGTCAAGCATATTTCAAAGTCTTCAAGAGTAAAAATAGATTATTATATTTATGTATAAAGCAGAACATTTATATTATTCTTTCTTTATTCCTGGTATTCCAAATTTCTTCCTAGTGTCTGAAGAACTTAGGTTAGCATTTCTTTTAGATCTCATCTTATGACAACAAATTCTCTTAGTTGTCATTATTTGAGAACATTTATTTCATTCTCATTCATGAAGGTTATTTTTTCTGTTTATAAAATCCCATTTTGATAATCCTTTCTTTTCTGAATCTTAAAAAAGCTCTTCTATGTCATTTGGCCTCCATATTTTTGATGGGAAATGTGCAGTTATTCAAATTATTGTCATATATGAAATATGTCATTTTTCTATGGAAGATTTCCAGATTATATATATCTTTTTAATTTTACCAGCTCATTTGTTTTTATCACCAAAGCAGCACTGTTCAGCTGCTAAGTCAAGTCCGACTCTGCGATCCCATGAACTGCAGCACGTTAGGCTTCCACTGTCTCCCAGAGTTTTCTCAAGCTCCTGTCCATTGAGTCGGTGATTCCATCCAACCATCTCATCCTCTGTCATCCATTCTCCTCCTGCCCTCAGTCTTTCCCAGCATCAGGGTCTTTTTCAATGAGTCAGTCCTTCATATCAGGTGGCCAAAGTATTGGAGACTCAGCTTCAGCATCAGTCCTTCCAATGAGTATCCAGGGATGATTCCCTTTAGGATTGACTGGTTTGAT